AGCACCAACAGACCCTAGTAGGATCGTCATAGATCACCCAGACTATCCTGACCTACAGAAAGTACCGTCATGTTATCATGATCTAAAGGAAGCCTTTAACAAATCAAAAGCCATGTCGTTACCTCCTCACCGACCTTTTGATTGCCCCATTAATCTCTTACCGGGGCTCCCATTCCCAAGGGAAAACTGTATTCGATCTCAAGGCCAGAGAGAGCGGCAATGGACGACTACATTTCCTCTTCTCTTAAATCAGGGATTATCCGTCCTTCATCTTCCCCAGCTGGAGCGGGGTTTTTCTTCGTAGGAAAAAAGGATGGTTCTCTGAGACCTTGCATAGACTACAGCCCTCTTAATGACATTACGGTAAAAAACCGCTATCCTCTGCCACTCATGTCCTCTGCTTTCGAGCTACTTCAGACTGCCAAGATTTTTACCAAGCTGGACTTAAGAAATGCATATCACTTGGTTAGAATAAGGGAAGGGGATGAGTGGAAAACAGGGTTTAACACTCAGAGCGGTCACTATGAATACCTTGTGATGCCTTTTGGACTGTGTAATGCACCGGCTGTGTTTCAGGGTTTTGCGGGAATTTTTGAATGTTTCTGTGTTTGTGTACCTTGATGACATTTTGATTTTCTCACCAGACTCTAAGTCCCATGTTCACCATGTCCGTCAGGTTCTGCAGAAACTCGAAAATCAATTATATGTCAAGGCAGAGAAGTGTGAGTTTCACGTAGAAAAGGTGGCCTTTCTAGGATATATAATCTCACCAAACCAGATGCAGATGGAACCTGCTAAAGTCAGTGCAGTTTCCAAGTGGCCAACACCAGACTCCAGGAAGAAGGTTCAGCAGTTCTTAGGGTTTGCGAACTTCTACAGAAAGTTTATAAGAAACTTCAGTTCTGTAGCTGCTCCTCTGCATGTTCTGACTTCCTCCAAAGTTCCCTTCAAGTGGACTCCCCAGGCTGACTGCGCTTTCCAGCTCCTCAGGGAGAGGTTCACCACAGCTCCGATTCTCACCATTCCGGATCCCCAGCGCCAGTTTGTGGTCGAGGTCGATGCTTCCAATGAGGGAATTGGAGGCATTTTGTCCCAAAAATCCTTGAAGGACAACAGGATACACCCATGTGCCTTCCTGTCGCGGAAGCTGACGACGATGTGGGAAATAAGGAACTGTTCGCTGTAAAAGCTGCTCTTGAGGAATGGAGACACTGGTTGGAGGGGGCAGAACAGCCGTTCTTAGTTTGGACAGACCTTAAGAACCTGGAGTATATCAGAAAGGCTAAACGCCTCAACTCTCGGCAGGCCAGGTGGACTCAATTTTTCAGTAGGTTCAACTTCACTCTCTCTTTCCGCCCCGGATCTCAGAATCAGAAGCCTGATGCCTTGTCTCGCCTTTTCGAACCAGAACCCTTTTCTGTAGAGCCCAAGACCATCCTTCCATTAAACCGTATGGTCGGAGCTTTTTCCTGGCAACTAGAGTTGGACGTTGAACAGGCTAACACATTAAACCCAGTACCTAGCAAGTGTCCAAACCACCCTTTGTTCCTGTGTCTCTCCACTCCAAGGTCATCCACTGGGCCCACACGTCGGTGATCTCGTGCCACCCTGGAGTTAAAAGGACTATGTACAGGATTAAGCAGCGTTTCTGGTGGCCAGCCATGAAGAAGCATGTGCAGGAGTACGTAGCGGCTTGTCCGGTGTGTGCCTGCAATAAAACCTCGTCCCAGGTCAAGATGGGTTTGCTCCAACCACTGCCGATTCCTCAACGTCCCTGGTCACATATATCTATGGACTTTGTGACAGGTCTCCCCTTGTCCAGAGGCAAAACTACGGTTCTGACAGTAGTGGACTGGTTATCCAAGATGGTTCATTTCATTCCGCTAACCAAGATCCCCTCTGCCAAGAGTACCGCAGAGGTCATGATGAACCAGATATTCAGGATCCACGGATTCCCAAATTACATTGTTTCCGACAGGGGTCCACAATTCATTTCAGCCTTCTGGAAGGAGTTTTGCAGACTCATAGGCGCTACTGTCAGCTTGTCTTCAGGTTACCACCCTCAATCAAATGGACAGTCGGAGCGCCTGAATCAGGAACTGGAGACTACACTACGCTGTCTCGTTTTCCAGAACCAGACCAACTGGAGCGACCACCTCACTTGGGTGGAGTTTGCCCACAATACTCTTCCCACGGCGGCCACAGGTCTCTCGCCTTTCCATTGTGCCAATGGTTATCAACCGCCGCTGTTCTCAACCGACGAAGGGGAAGTTAGGGGAAGGGGAAGTTACGGTACCATCAGCTCACGCCTTGATTAGACGCTGTTGCCGAGTTTGGGCTGGAGCTCGCCAATCTCTGCTTCGAAGTTCGACTCGGATGAAGGCTGTAGCAGACGTCCACCGCAGGGCTGCTCCCATCTACAAACCGGGTCAAAAGGTGTGGCTTTCTACCAAGGACCTACCACTTCAGGTGGCTTCAATCCGGTGTCTGTGAGCCTAAGACTTCCCAGACCCATGGTCTGGGTACATCCTACATTCCACGTCAGCAAGATAAAGCCAGTTCATGAGAGTACGCTTATTCCCGCCTCCAAGCCCCCTCCACCACCCCAGTTCTTCGAAGGTGGCCTAACGTACAAGGTCCGCAAGTTGCTGGAGGTCCGCAATAGGGGTCGAGGAAAACAATTCTTGGTGTATTGGGTGGGTTATGATCTCGAGGCAAGATGCTGGGTCCCTGCGAGGTTTATTGTGGATAAAACCCTGATTCAGGATTTTTATGATCGGCCTGGGCCTTCAGGAGTCGGCCCTAGAGGGGGGGTTACTGTTGTGCACCGTCAAAAGTGCTAGTCAATCATGTTTTATGTTTATTTTGTATTGTTTTTCACTTCCTGTTTTGTTTTTGTCAAGTCTCATTTCAGGTCCCTTGACTCCCTTTCTTCATGTGTTCTCCCGCCCTCATCAGTATCAGCCCCGCCCCTGATTGTGTTCACCTGTGTCTTGTTGAGTGTTTAAATTCCCCAGTCTCCCAGCGTTCAGTGTCAGTTCGTCTTGTCCTATCCCCATGACAGAGCTATGCTCTTCAGCTCGTTTTGATTCAAAGCCTATGTTGGCTTCTGAAACTTATTATAAGTTTGGTTCCTCACGTTGTGAGTGATTTTCTGTTTTGCCTTGCTCAAACCTTTTTTGTCATCTCTTAAGAGTGATCTTCTTTTGTTACCTTTTTTGTGCAAATAAAGTATCTTAATTGTACTTTACCTTTGGCTCCCGGGTCGTGCATTTGAGTCCTTATCCTTGTGTAACCAAGTTCATAACACTCACCACTGATTCAATTTCTGGGGAAACATCTAGATTGTATTTATTTCAACAAAAGGAACATGAAATAAAACATGGACAACTTCATTTTGAAGGCTCAGTGTTTCTCTGAAAGAAGGACATTTGTGGTACTTTTATATACCCAAAATCCAATTATTTGTCCCCATTGTAGGCTTTTGTCTCATGCGTGAGTGCTGTGACTGATTTTAGAGTTAGTTTGAAGTTAAGGGCTGATAAGAAGACGGATGACTGATACCAAAGTCTGAGGCACGGAGAATAACAATGACTCATTTGCTGCATAAAAACATGAGTCTCCTGCATTAGTATAACAGTCATTTGTGCTTTCGTTGTTTTTACTGAAACTCTACTTAGGAATTCTGTCATCAGAAAATGTTGTTTTTAAATATGAACGTTTTTTTTCCTGTGCCATTGTATATTTTTTCACACACTCTCTTGTGTCCCTCTTTCACTTTTTGAAGCTGTCAGCAGACGATGACTCCATTGAGGGCATGGTCCCCAAACTGTCACTGTTAATCAATCCTTAATGACGGGAGGCAAACTCAAACAAACTACTATTACGACTGACATGAAAAGTGCCAGTCAGACTTTGACAGGTTTGACTAGTTTGACATGTCTGACAGTCAGGGCTGGCCAGTGATTGACCACAGAGAGACACCGGGGGGGAAAAAGAATCGGAGAACTCCACTCTAGTTCCTTTTTGGAAATGGCAGAAAATAAACAATGTGGGCAGAATAAAAGCTAAAGGAGCTCTGTGTTTTATTTAATAAGAAAGTTAAACCAAGAGAAAGTCACTTTCTGACCTCTTAGAAAACATTTATGCTTAAGTACATAATATTAGAGTATCATTTGAGAATAACCATTCAGCAGGGGTTAATATCACATTTTTGAGGGAGGTCGGAAAGTGTTTGGTTTCTGACTTAGTGCCCCTTAAAGGGTCCACACAACCAAAGACATGTTTGAATAGCTTGCATGTATCTTTTCACCGTTCACTTATTACATTATACTTTATTCGCATTTCAACTTCCTGCATGATAGCCTGAAAAGTTCAAAGCCTTCTTCAGAGCTCCAACCCATCTCTAGTGGGCATCCACCTTTGATCTCTTAATATACTGTATGTGGAATTTCTCATGAGCTGGCTTAATATCTTTATATGTTAAATCAATTCAGTTTTGACTGAAACTGTCCGAGAATGTACCTTACAATCTTACCACTGGGAGCTTGTGGCTAATGGTCTTCTTCACCAATAAGATAAGTATTCATTAATTCTCATTCTAATCATCAGTGTTTATCATAATTGACATAAGGGTATCATTGTTTTGTTCACTTACAGCATCCAAAAGCAAAATGTTCTATCTTCCAAGGAAAAAAGTACCGTGCAATTTGACATAATGAAGAAATAATATTCCAAAACTAACAATATCCAAACGCCACTACACGTGCACCTGCTTTGAGTATATTTTCACTCGTATTCCAGACTCGTAGCTTCTCATCTGTTTTAGTAAGCTAACTTCGTCCCATCATGTTGCCTTGGACGCACGGCGGCGCTAGATCACTTCGCGTATCGATCCTGTCCCCTGCATCAACTTGCACGATTCAGACCCATACTCGTAACTCATTCAGATCCCCCCTCCTTCTCCCTCCTTCTCCCTCTCTCTCTTCTCCTCTATGCTTTAGCTGCATGTCACTCAGTCAGTCAGTTAGTGGCTCCCGGTCCGCTGCGCCTGCGTCCGCCTCCACAGCTCTCCAAAGCCGAGACGCGCCACCGCCGCCGTTAATGCGGGCATGACATACTGGCAGAATAGTGGGCTTCCGTCAGCCTGCTTTTAAGCAGATTACACAAGGAGAGGAAGAGAGATAAGAAGTAGAAGAGAGTGAAGTGACACATTTCTAACCCTTGCCGTGCGTCGAGAAGAGTAGATGAGTCAATGGCAGGGGCACAGCCTGGAGTCCACGCGCTGCAGCTCAAGCCAGTGTCCGTGCCCGAGAGCCTAAGAAGGGGCACCAAATTTATGAAATGGGATGATGTAAGTAATGTCGACACACCGGCAGTTCATTTTTTTTCTCCACTAGATGTTTACTGCACGCTTTATTTGCATGCATGTGCCACTGGGATGTATTACACAATCTATAGGATACTCATGCAACAGCTTTGCATGTCTAACAACGCAACGTATGTGGCTTGCAGGTTATAAAGACATTTAGCAGATATGCTGAGTGACACGCGCTTTGTTTACATTTCCCAATTTGTGTGTGTACGTGCGTGTGAGTGGGCGCGCGTATGACAGTGATGCTGTGTGAGAATGTGTGCCCTGCTCATTAAATGAAATATTGCTCGCCTCTCCCCCTTCGTAGGAAACGTTTTTATCAATTAACTACAATTCATTAGTGCGCGGATCGCAGCGTACCCAAGAGTTGAATTACGGTCGTGTTTTGTTTGTTGCTGTCATTTGTCCGGACTGCTGTCTGTTTAGCTGTAGTGAAATGACCTTGATTAAAATTGATTGCACGCTTCTGTTGAGTGGCTGGAGAAAAAACAAGAGTAGCCTTCTAACTGCCTGTTTTAGCGCAATGCACCTTCCACAAACAACAATAATAATCCCCTGTAGAGAACTACCCTATAGCCACTGCAATTACATGTTATGTATGTTATTTCCCACCTTGTATGCTGTCACTATAATAGCTTTCTGTATTGTGAAAGACACTTTCTGTTATGTGTTTCGCGCAGCCCATCTAATTTGAATAGCTGCACGCATTCCTCTGGTTTCTCCAAACCGAACTGCATCTTTACTGTGTGAGCATTTGAATATGATTACAGTCATGATTACTTTCATTCTATGAAACAGGTTGCTTTTTTCCATCTCAGTCAGTTAACTATACAGGTATTGTCTTGTGTAAAAGTAGTAATAAAATAATAATTGAGCCGCATTAAAAATCAAATGTAGATAAGCATTGGCATTCAGTTGGTTGGTGATAAACTGTGCACTTGTGGGACATTTTGAAATATGACTTTATGAGATAATCCTAACAGTGACATAATCATATTCACTGATCTCAGGTGATTCGAGCACAGCACAGATGGCCTTAGTTAGTGTTATAAGAGTGTGAATGTGTCCAGTACAGAAAGGACATTATGCACTGTTTCGAACGTAATGCTCTGTCAATCATCAATCTTGCACACAGATAAGATAACTGGACTTTTTCCTTAACGTGTAAATTACTAATGAGCACTCACCCGTTCAGTTCTTGTGAGAGAGCAGTGTGTGTGAGGTGCGAGTCGGTTTCTCCTAACAGCCGTGTTTGTGTTGTCGCTTGTATGTGGGCCTATCTCCAGAACCAAATGCCCACCAGGCCTTTCCTGTGAAAACACACACCCTGGAACACAGACGTATGCACAGATAGTCTCCCTGGTCCATTTCCCATGCTCTCCTTCCTTCCTCTTTCCTCTACGTATCATTCCATGGAAAGAATCACAGAAGAGTACGGAGGTAGCCCAAGAGAGATAAAGTTATAATACATTGTCAGGGAAAAAGGATTGAATAAAATAATTTTCTTATCCTGGCGTTGAATGTCGGGCTCCCACTCTCTACAGAAAATTGTACAAGCTATTCCAACATTTTAATGTAGATAAGCAGAAGGGATTTGTTTACAGTCTCGCTGCTGAACATTCTGTGGAGGCAGATAGTGTGTTAAGTTTTGTTTACAGTGTAGGGATGGCATACTGTACAGTATCAAACAACAGAAGCTGCACACTTAAGCACACCAACTGCCTGGTCGATGACTGTTGAAAAAGAATAGTAGAGCAATCAGACAACCACAAAGTTTGTGCGATACTCAAAGTCCCAGACCTCTCCAAGCCTCCCTCACACAGGGATGTGCATGTGTATGTGTGCACATACACACCTCGTATTTCTGTTGCTGCCACTTGCAGACAGCTGGTTGCTGCTGGGGAAATGCCTTCTGGTGGTTTAAAAACACTGCCAGGGTTGTCATTCAAATGGCACATCCAGCAGCAATAGTTGTCAAGGGGCTGTTTTTATATAAAGTATAAAATAGACAGGCACCCAATAGGGTTCAACAACCTGGAGAAAAAAACTAATTGAGATAATTTGACTGATATTGCGATTATGATTTGAGATATTAGAGGGAATGATTTTTGAATCGTCATTCAAAACTTATTTAAAAAATATTTTGAAATGCAGCTCCCCAGTACTTACATTTGAATAATGCTTCATACTTAGCCTACAGTATTTTTGCATTACCCAAATATTGGCTTAAAGGTGGGGTAGGTAAGTTTGAGAAACTGGCTCGAGATACACTTGTTGTTATATTCCATGGAATGCTCTTAACATCCCGATAGCAATGAATATCTTAAATGCTTTGACAAAAAATCCATACAGAAATTTCATCTGTGAAAGCCGTAGTACTGTAAAAAACACGACCAATCATTTTTGCCGGCCCCGGCTAAAATAACTGGATGGCCTACCTGCCTGTCAGCCTTCCATCTGTGCACACACTTATCTCGTGCCCTCATTGGTCATGTGCGCATTTGTGTGTGTTGGAGGAGGGGCTCTGTGAGGAAGTGGCAGATTTTTTCAAATTCTAGCTGGTTTCTCCAAAATGACCTACCCCACCTTTAATTGTGAATTACGTTTAGTTAACATTTGTTTCACTAGTTCACATTTTGATAAAATTGAGATTGATTTTACAGTCCCTGCATCTTAAAGACAACTGAGAGAGACTGCGCATATGATGCTGGCTTCATGTAAACAGAGATTGTAAGTAAGATCAGTTTCAGGCAATTTTTGGTCTGGTGCGTATTGAATAAGATGTTATTGGGCTCCACATGGGAGAATGATTCCCTTTTAAAGTATAGAATATAACATTAGCATTCAAAACAGAAATGTGCTCCTCTCTAACACACCCCCTCAGGTGATAGCTAATGGTACAAAGCCTTCACTTAATACATATTCAGCGTCTCCTGCCTAGGATCGGTTCCCTCAGGGTGTTTGCACTTTCGCAACTCAGCCACTAATCTCATCTTAATTCAGCAAAAAGCAGAGCCTTTGCCGCCGAATGTCTTCCCATTAATGACAAATCCTCTGAATAGTCGAATGACAATAAAAAGCGCGAGCAGCACCACTCTGGAGGTAGTGATCTAAGCAAATCACTTCCCGGCTGTAATCCACAATGCTATAAGTACATGTGTTTTTCGTAACTGCGCAGACCCATGAGAAGATCTTTGCTAAGAGTCCTTAATGGCTTAATGTGTTTGTGGTGGTGGCCATGGAGAGCCAGGACAATTAAGAAAGAAGCTGGTGAAAATGACTTGTCTCACATCATTAGGCAGATTCCCGGTTCTCTCGTTACTTCTGTTCCTTCTCTTCGACAGCACGGACAATCCATCAGTCGCCACATCCACCCCACTGAGAGAATTCTTCACTTAATGGAAATCATTTGCCAACTGACTGTAACATTAGTAATCCAACTCATTGTTTTGTAAAGTGTTCTCTTGGAAAGAGATGTCTACATGGTGGATGGGAAAAATCTTTGTTGAAGGAATTGGATTACGGATTGTATCTCGAGTGGAGATCAGAGATATGGGGCTGCAGTTAGAATGAGATGCTATATCAAAGAAGTGCGAACATGCAGCTTTTTTCCTGCCCTCCGGCCGTAAGTCCTGTGTGCGAGTATGCTGCATGCGCTCGGCGGTATGAGCTGCATCTTTTGTCGTTCAATCAAGCCTGCAAAGATTGTGCAATCATGTGAACGGAGCCTAAACGATTCCTCTTGAGTCGCTAATAGATTTCACAGGAATGATGGGTTGCCATAGCAAACGTCACTGTCACAAAAGTCTCTGATGCGGCAGCTCACTATTTTCAGCCTTGAACAAGTCCCCTGTTTACTATTCCCTTTTTTTCTCTCTTTTTCAATTTCTTCCAAGGGTTCATAAAGGGCTGGCTTTCAGTTTGGGCCCATCATGGAGCAGGTGTGCCGGGTTCCATTAACTGTGATTGTCTCATTCAGACTGTATGAAATGATTTTAGAGAACTACTAGTTGGCAACACCTCAACACAGACTCCTCTGCTGTCTGCTAGCTCAACCCTTTCATGATATTCAACACTGCGAGTCACATAGGGTCGCACTGAAATATGACAAGCATGTAACAGATGCAGATCATTAGCCATGTCTCCCAACGCTGTGTTAGGGACATCATTAGAAGCCTCATGAAGACACTTTGAAGATTTTCTTGCTCTGTGCAGCAAATGCCGTTTCCATCTCTGTGATCTAGCTGCCATGGCTGATTGAGGAGGACAATATGCTTCTGTTGTGCTGAACAACAGCCAGTGTGAACACAGTTAAAAAAAAAGCTAAGGCTCTTTCTTTTTATAGAAGCATCCAATAATATCTGGTGTTGCCATGTATGCCTCAGGGTCAAATTGTGTGTTTATGTGTGTGTGTGAGACTTGAAGCTGTCTGCATGTGGCAACTGTGGGAAAGCATTTGTCTGTTACGAGAAGGGAGACATTGAAAAATCTGCTGTCAAATGAACCTGCAGTTCACAAATATGGGCATATCAAAAAACACACACACACACACACACACACACACACACACACACACACACACACACACACACATGCAAAAACACAGACTCTGACAGGCATAAGCAGACACACACATTGACTCCAGATGTCTTTTTCTTTGTTTTCTTCCAGGATTCCACCACCGTGACCCCCGTGACTCTCACAGTCGACCCCAAAGGTTACTTCTTGTATTGGACCGACCAGAACAACGTGAGTCATGCATTGCATACAAAACTTTTCTTTTTGCCCCACATAGCTTTAAAACTTTCCCTGTAAAGCTCACCTGAAACTCTTTTTGCTCTCCTGGCCTTTTAAGTCTTAGAAAGCATTCAGATGAAAGATAACAAGTCAAAACTGGGTACACAAATGTAAAGCTTAAGCCAAAAAAAACACCACACCACAGTATGTCTCTAAATCCAGACTAATTTAGAGTTATAATCAAGGCAATAACTGTTTTCTTCCTTCTCATTTGTTTATGTTGTATGCCAAATAAGCCCAATTCTTTGAAGCACCTGATATAAGGTATTCATCCCCTTGTGCCATTTCAGTGATCTCATTGAAATGAATGAGGAACCTTTTGATTTTTCATAGTGCCATTGTTCGTCTGGAAAGGAAGTAAAGCCCAGAATTAATTCAGCTATAAAAAGCATGGTGTCTATCTACGTAATGATTGGCAAGGGGAAATCCCCAAAATACCAGTTTTTTAGTTGACAGAAGTGAAAGTAGAAGGAAAAAAAACCCGGCCTACTCTTCTCATTTGTTTGGCATGAATCTAAGCAGGTGTCAGCAGGAGATAGAGTCAATTGAGGGTGCATCTGCAGGCATAACCAGAATAATACAAAAAAAGAAAACATTTAGTTTATCAAAGTAACACAACATTGTCTTGCCTCTCAATGTGGATCAGCTGAGTTGATTCATGTAGTGTTTAAGTGTTGCTATGGAATGTCACAGTGCTTCATGCTTGACGAGCTGGGGAAGAACTTTCTTCATTTCTTCACAGGCAGTTACTTTTAACTGTCCAACTCTATCATGTATAGCCAATGCAAACATTGTCATAATACACCTAGGATTGGAAAAGCTCTGAGAAGTTTGATGTATTTAAGTTCAGAGACAAATGCAACTCTACCTGTCATTGGTAGTCATATTTGAATACGTGCTTGCTGACACTGACCCATCTTTTATTCATATTGTTGTAAGCCCACCAGGGAGGGAGGTTAAGCCAGTTAAAGAGCAGAGGTGGAAAAAAGGACAGAAATCTGAACTGCTGCACCTGCGGTGCTAAACTTGACACCTGTGAGAATATTCCATAGTGCATTGTTTGTTTCCTCCTCCCCATTTATGGTAAATACTTTTATAATATCAAGGGACTGGGTTGTGATACCACACACTATCAGCCGTGGTAACCTTGCCAAACATACAACTATAGTTTAACCTTGACAGTGTGTACATAACTCTAATCTAGTTTGGTCATATTTTAGCTTGTGCTTCAAAAGTCTGCCTGTCTAGAACCTCAATTCTTTAAAATCCACCCCCCCTCTAAACAGCTTGACATAAATGTGTCCCTGTTCTATTTGTGTGTATTACTGTATCAGCAAAGGCAGTTAGAGGTAGACTAATTAATAGCTGCCATTGATTTTATGTTTAGCAAGATAAGGAGTATATCACTGCAGCCATGGCAGAGCACAGACAGGAGTGCTGACCAAGACTTTACCCCTGCACACACACACACACACACACACACACACACACACACACACACACACACACACACACACACACACACACACACACACACACACACACACACACACACACACACACACACACACACACACACACACACACACACACACACACACACACACACACACACACACACACACACACACACACACACACACACACACACACACACACACACACACACACACACCTCATATATGATTATACTGCTCGCAGAGAGAGGATCCAATCATTTTGGTAACCTACTGTAAATGAACTCACTGTATGTGGAAAAAGAGGGGATGTCTATATACTAAACAATCAATGATGAAAGCCTTCCCTGTCTGGGAAGAAAGAGACATACGGACAGAGTTTTGACCGATGAGGCTTTCCTGTGTGTGTTTACATGTGTTGGTGTCTGTTCTGGCTCCCAGCTGTGTAATAACTCAAATTGATACCAAGCACCGCAAAGACAAAACTGTATTAGGGCATAGAAACAGGCACCCACGATATTCCTCAGTGCCATAGTCGACACAAAACTGTCTCGATGTGTTTACGAAGATGTCTTTTGGCTCACCTTTATTCCAAATGGTACTGCACATCTGCTCAGCAGACCAATTTAAACAGGCTGCGACGCTGTGTCCAGTTGTTATGTGTGTGTTTGTTGGAGACTCATCCTGATGGCCTGCAGAGTAAAAGCATTCCTCAGATTCTTCAGAAGCACAGCAGAACTGTGCTCAGTGTGCCTACTGCGCTCACTTTCAAACACACATTGTCAATGATGGGAACAATTTTCTCTATTTACTGTATTTTCAGTGTTACTATTTGCTCAAGGTCTGGACTCATCGTTAGGAAGTTTATGTTATTTAACAAACATATGATCATGCTTTCAAAAATACTGAGCCTATGAATTGTTTGTGTGAGCCTGGGGGGCTTGAGTCTTATGATTTGCACTCCAGTCAGTCATGAGTATGAATATATTTGACTTGACAAAATGGAAATGGAATTGCGGCTCATCCTTGACTTTAATACCAATGACGTTTTAACTTAATACCCTCCCCTTAATATCCTCCCCAAGCCCAAAGATTAAAAATGATGGTAAAAAGAGGACATTAAACCAACTTTTCATTTTCTGAATAAAGGTAGAGTCACATTAATGGGAGCAGGACGGAGAGCTGCAGACAGACAGAAATGTTATATCAGACTATCACATTCAAATATAGAGACCATGCTGTGGCTAACAGCGACATTCAAAACAGACAGACAACTGTGTTTGTAATTTAAGGCTCCACATAACAGTAGGCTGATGCTAACTGTGACTCAAGCTAACATTAGTTAAGAGCTACGCTGCTAGTATGAATAAGAATTGGCAATGTCTCTAAAGTTAGCCGCCTGTCGTTGTCGGGTGGTAAACAGTAAAACAAGTTTGACGTTGCAATTTTCTCAAGGACATTAGATTTATAATAGAGAATTACTGGTGACTTACAAATCAGTGGCTATGTATACAGTATGTTGGCGTATTTGCCTGAGACAGAAAAAGGGGAAGGGTCAGAGAAGGACATGCTAATCCCCGAGTTTGTCTCTTTCGTCCAGTCATGTGTTCTGCTGTCAACTCCTGATCCAGCGGTGGATTTCAGCCATGTTTTAAGGTCATATAGACAAAATGTAGTGTTGACGGCAGTGAAGACTCAACATCAAATCTGTTTAGACCTGATGTTCTTTGCCTTTTCCTCCTGGCCAGACTTTTACTTGATGACTCAAGACTCGAGAATTTCTTGAGTTTCATCTCGATGCCTTTGTTGCAGTCACAGTAAGTCAGACTGACAGTACGGCTTCAACTTCAAACTAGTATTTCTATGCGGAAGACTTCTCAGAACTGAGATAAGATACTTTTATTGATTCATTATTGATACTGTCAGTGCAGCCTGCGAGACGGTATGAGACACCCTGGATTCTGATATTAATTTGATTTTGCACTTCCCTCCCTCCACTTGTGGACGCTTGCCAGAACAGGAACTTGAACAATAATGCTCTTGTTGAATAGTTAATATCGTCTGATACAGTACAAAGGGTATTGCAGAATCTCTTCCTTCCCTCCGCTGTAACAGGTGCAAACTGTGTGATATCCCATGTGAGGTGCGCTTCATTTCTGCACACCAGTGTTTTTTTAAACAGGGCTTTGCTATGTAAACTCCTGCAGTCATTACTCTGCCTTGTTTGTATGTGTTTGGTTCAGAGTCCATTTGGCCGTCTTTTTATGTTTCTCCATGCTTTTGCTTTCTGTCTCACACACACACACACACACACACACACACACACACACACACACACACACACACACACACAGAGAAATAATACAAATAATTTGACAACAGCAGCATCGCGAGGAGAGCGCTGACAGTCAGAATATCTTCAATAATAATGACAGTGACCATGACAACATCAGTAACAGCAGAAACATGTGTAAACTCAGAGTAAATGAATACCATGCTGCGATCGCTTGTCAAAACATTCCCATCCATCATTAGAAATACATTAACCACAGTGGCATAAATATTGGAGGAAAGTTACTTCATTTTATGCATTAGAACTGTGACTCAGCAAAAGTTCGGTACAATTAAATAGTTTAAACATTTCCTTTAGCAATAAACAACAACCCTGAGGAAAGGTACTTTCCCGTATTCAATAAAAACACAGGCACATTAGAACAAGGAACTACACTAACATACTTTGAAGAGTCTTTCAATAACAATACCTCACGGTGTTACGCAAGAGATTTGCATCAGTAACTTTGAAATGTGCGAGTATGCTTTTGTTAAACTGTCTGTGAGAGATTTTTACGGCCTCTATTTTGAAAGAATCATTGTTTGTTCTACTCGCAAAGAATTTTCTCAGAATTTAGACAGAAATAGGCCAGAAAATCGTCAGCAGCATTCCTCTGAGTTACTTGACACAATCCAGCGCTTGATCAGTTTTAATTGAACTCTGGTGCATTTCAAGCCCTGATGGTCAATTGTATTCTGGTGCTGAACAAAAGAACCGGCACAAGACCACTTGAGAAGGTGTTTCGTGGAATATTTTCAAGAAAACTGACTTGAACCTCTTAAGAAGTCCAATGTTTGCCTTACGAATCCTGTCTGAATGTTCCGTTCAATGTAAGTTAATGTTTTTCTTAGCTTGTTGATTCCATGTTTACAGTTTCCATCCTCAATTTTAGACCAATACAAAAGGCTTATGCCAGTCTGTTTCCGGTCCTGTTGCACACGCGCATCAACAAATAAATTTAATATGGGGTAATTTCATTTGTGCACTCTGAAACGTGTATTGCAAATGATGATTATAAAGAGAACATAATTACATAATGCTATAATATGATAATAATGATAATATTCTGAAAGCCCTCCAAGCCAAAAGAGAGTGGCTCAATGAGATTGATATATCATCCTCTTTGTAGATGAAAAGTCACAAGATGCCACGTGACCACTCAG